CCAACTGTAATGATTCTATGATTCTATGACAGTAATTTTTATTACGTATGTTTTTCTGACACTGTATTATTGTAAAAGAATATTATAACCTCGAAGCAAGCATGTCAGTGATTCTGCTAAAATTTTACAAGTTGGAAAACTTTTGTGAGAAATGGACTAATACTTAGCTGAATTGAACAGCTCTTCCAGTTTACCTGTAGCTAAGCCTTCCACACTGACATTAGGGGCTGTACACTACAGGTTGTTAATCCAGTGTTAAGTATGTATTAGAAGGTTAGAGGAAAGAAGAAAGGTTGTCTGAAAACCCAATTATAAATGCCGTTCAAGTAAAAGGCGTGAACTTTCCTTTTCTGAGAGGCCTGCTGCAACAGGGAGAATGGCCACTGTAAGAAGAAAACTCTTTTGCATGTCTGTTTTTCCCATTGGCAAAGTCTTGCTTACACAAGAAAGGTTTACCTGAGGCTTTATCAAGAAACCTTTCTCCTATCACTACACCTTAGATTAGTAAAGGCCATTTCTGGCCTTATTTTCTACCTTCTCGATCAAGACACCTATCGTAGCAAAACTGTTATTTTGGACAATGCCAAAGCTGTCGGAGTTCTTCAGCAGGTGAGGGTGGGGGGTTGCAGCTTGTAAGAAAAATAACTTGAAGGGACTGTTTCTGATAATACGAGCTGTTTTCATCCAGTTTTGAATGTATTAATTCATAGCACTCTTTCACTGTAATTAAATAGTTCCATGTAATGCCTGTCGTGCTGCTGACAATAGCATTCTTTACCAGATACTGAGGTTTGTGAAAGAATGGAGTCACCTAACAGCAATGAAACAGAAGGTGGTCAGAAAAAGTGGTCAGATATTTTGTAGTCCTATTCATGCTGCAGAGGAGCTGTCTAAAAAGCAGTCAGTGGTCAGCAGCACAAAAAGGTATGTGTTCTTACTTTTTTTTCATCTTACCAATGGCAGCAGGAAGTTTGATGTATTGAATGTAACTTTCAGCGGAATGATGCTGAGACTGTGAACTGGTGGTTCGATGATTGCTTGTCGCATAGTGAAAAACGTAGGCAACCAAGCACATCAGTAAATCTGTTGGAGTGGAAGTGTCTGCTTCCCTGTCCGGCACTGTGCTGCATTCAGCAGCTGTTCTGGCTTTGCTACACTCCATATTTAAACATCTGGAACTTGCTGGAGATTTTTGAAGAAAAATCATGGCCTCAGGGACTTGAAAGAAAAGTAAGGTCAAAAAATCTTGTTGGTTTTCCCCACGTGGGAGCAGGAATAAATCATTAGTTGACATCAATGATATAATGCTTTATTCATAACTCACAGCCTACTCCAACCCTTCCTGATACTCATTTTTTCTTTAAGCAATTCTGTTCTCTGTGAATGACATTTCTCAACACTATTGTTTTTCTTGCTGGGTGTCACTGAAAAGGGCTAGTGTTTAATCCTTGTTAAAATCTAAATTTATCTTTTTTCCATTTTCTTTCCTTTTTCTGATACGGTGTCTTCCCTGACAGACATTTGCAGCTTCAGTGTTCTCATTGCTCTCCACAAAACTTTTCATGCGTGCACCTTAACGCACCGTGGTGCCTCTGCAAACTATCTAAAACCTTTTTATTTCTCTCAGTCCCTACTGTTAAATTCTCCAGTGACTCTATTTTGGCTGTAGGTAAGAATTCAAGTAAGTAAGTAGAGTTCGTAGTTCCAGTAATATAAGGAGAACCAGCAGGTAGTAAGTGTTTCTTAACCTGTTACCGGATTGTTTCCTTCCATAAAAGAAAGATCTAATGTGAACCGTGCTAGAAAATCTACTGTAACTACAGCAGTCTTCTCAGGTAGTATATAGGGTTTGCCATACGTATAGTACAGAGAGGCGTACTTATGAGAAGTTGTCTGAATAGTGGTTTTTGGAAGAATAATCAGAGTGAAGCGATTTTAAGAGTTTTACTTAAAAGCAGCAGTGTTTTCTATGTTTTCACATTAAAATAAAGAAGTGAGTTCAAACATAACTAATGGAGCAAGGAGTCCTCCAGAGCTTGTAAAGCTTCCTGTGTTAGCTAGTGTGTCAGTGAGACTTCACCTAACTGAAACAAAATGGCTTTCAGATTTCACTGTCAGGCAGTATCAGATTGCTTTTGTTTTCGTATTGGTATATACAAAACAACTTACCTGTTCGCTGGTTAGAGCTCAGTCTGGTTTTAGAAAAAGATATCTTATGTAATATGGAAGCATTATGGTGAAGTATGTTTTCCCAAACTTTACTTATTTCTCATCTGGGAAATGAGGAATGTTTTAAGAGAATATACCGTACCAATCTTGCTGCAGCCAAGAGTGAATGTTCTTTGAGGGAGATTGTTCCTTTTGTAGTACATTGACAGGATTTTGAATTATTTTAGGTATGTGACCAAGGAGGACGTAGCAGCAGCTTCACTTAGCAAAGCTAGCAGCAGCGGGGGCAGTGTGCGCCTCATCTCCAAAGAAAGTGGGGTTTGTCTGAAGAACGAAAATGCTTCTGTTGAACAATCAGGTCATTCCACAAAGTAAGTTCATTAGTGAAATAAGGTGATTAAGCTATTTCTCCACAGATTTCTTTTTTTTTTTTAAGGTAGCAAAATTATTTGCTAAAAAGTGTTTACTTTGCTGAAGTACAATGTTTAGATAAGAAACTTGCTGTATGCTAATAAGCTATGTTTTATTCTTATAACAATTTAGGTTACATCTGTTGTCTGCTGATACAGCTGCTAATTAACTGAGTCTGATTAAACAAAACAAAAAAATAGTTACATGATTCAGTTAAAGAAAAAAGAATGTAAGCTCAGGCCTGCTTGTGAGGTCAACAGCAAACTGGGGACATCAAATTTTCTTCTATTCTGCCTCAAAATTTAAAAAAAGGGAGAAAAGAACATGAAAATTCTAGACAGAAAATGCCCTTTTAAAAAATTCTATTAAAGGAGCAGTGTGTATCTTGGCTGGAGGTACGCCTTGTTTAGGGTAGGAAATTGATAGATAGCCGTGAAGGTTGCGTAGAGAAACCAGGATGTTTCCTTTGACTTTTCTACTTCTGTTAAAGAGGGGGCTGAAATTCTTTACGTTTATACGTGTACATGCCTGATAGAAACCACCATTTCTTTATAAATACAGCATTATTTTGGCTAATAGTTCAGTGTACATGTGTAAATGTAGTAAGATGTGCAAAAGAAAAATCTGTCTGTTATATTCTCAAATTTTCTTTAAATGGAAGAATAAACTAAGTAGATGATTTGCACTGTGCAGGTATCAGTCTGAGCAAGATATTATTTCAACTAAAATTGGTATTTTAGAGCATAAAAGATTTCTAATGGAAATATACACTGCATAAAAAACCTACTGAATTGTGTTGCTGAATACCTCCTTTATTAACATCTGTACTTCGTTCTCTGCAAACAGGCTGCTTTCAGAAAATGGAAAAGGCCCGTCAGCTCCTCATTCAGAGCAGACGGACGGGGAAGGCTCCTCCCTGTCCAAAGGCTATTTGCAAGCCTTGGACAGCCAAGGGAACCCGCTCTGCCTCAGCTGTCAACAGCCAACAGCTCAGCTTGAGCCAGGCTGCCAGGCCCGTGCTTGGGACACGCGATTCTGCTCTCATGCCTGCCAGGAGGACTTCTCGATTCGCTCTAGTCAGAGCTACCTTCGGACTAAAGTGTTTGAAATTGAACACGGTGTTTGCCAGTTTTGTCATCAAAACGCCCAGGAGCTTTATCTCAGCATCAGAGATGCGCCTAAGAGTCGCCGTAAGAAACTTCTGGAGAGTTCTTGGATGTCTCACCTTCCACTTGGGCAGGTAATAATACTGGGTTTTAAGCAGTAACAGCTAATCTGTGTTTTCCTCTAGCAGGTAGTTCAGAGAAATTCAGAATGTTCTTTTTACAGGTTTAAGATCGAAGGTTAACCTAGCACCAGCAACAGAGTAAGAAAAAACAAAATCTTAAAAAACCCCAATGTCTTCTAACACATTTTTCATTGCTAAAAGGCACAGGCATCAGAATTCAGATTCCTTAGTGATGTGAATATTGCAGCCAGATTTACTTGAAATGCACTTCATTAACAAACTTTCTGGTTATGAAACAATTTAAGAGTGGATGTAGTCTAGTAATACTAGGTTATTCCGACTTTGCAGAATGTTTGGTAGGAGCTTAACTAAAAGCCAGTTGTCACAGCTCCTCTCAGTATAGCCTCAAAATGCATTAAAACTACCACCGTTCTTCCAGGGTTGTGATTGTTTCTTTGCTGACTTGAAGGCAGTGGAGCAAGGAGGGAGAACATTCCTACGTAAAGTGGTATTTTTATTCAGAAACTAAAATGCTCTTTTATTTTCTGCTGCAAAGTTGAAATTCTGCTTCAGAAGTTACTGGTTCTAAATTGTTGGAATAAATTCTGCAGACACCCATTTAAGCTTGCAAAAAAAGTAGTTGTTTACCATCACTGGTCGTATGCCTGAGATCAGTTTTGTTGCTTGCAGATTTTTAAAATAAGGTGGTGCACATCCAAAAGACTGAGAAGCCTTGCGGAGTGGGGTTCTCCTACAGCCTCTAAGTGAACGGAACTCTGTGCTGTGTCCAAGTTACCTTTTTGAAAGCTGACGTAGGGTTTTATCACCTGAGGTTTCTCAGTGCTCATTATTACAATTCCCACTGTCTCCATCAAAAACTTAAATGACAAATACCTCGTTGGGAATCTGCTTCTTCAAGCTCTTGCACATATTTTACTTGTGTATGTTTGTTTTTATTATCAGCATGTGATGTTGATAAAAGGACATTGAAGATAACCTACTGTACCAATCAAGAAAACTGAACCTTTCATTCTGTCTTTCCTTGATCCACTGCTGTGTGCTTCAGCATGCTGCAAACTAGGTGAAAATATGCTAACTAAAATTACAGTTGTTTGCTTGTCCAGTGGGAGTAACAAAAAAATACTAACGCTTTCTTTCTCTTGATAAAAACTATGAATAGCTACTTCCCTGAATTATTTTCTTGTTCTTACAGTAGAAGATATATGTAGTTGAGAAGGAGTATCTAATGCTTCCAGTGTCATGTCCTTTGTTACTTGCAGTTGAATGAAATTATAACAAACCCGACAGAAGGCCAGTTCTGGCAAGCAGACCACATCAAGCCCGTTTACAGTGGAGGAGGACAGTGCTCCCTGGAAAACCTTCAAACGCTGTGTACGGTCTGCCACAGAGAGGTCAGTATGGGATGGTCAGAAACCCTCACCCTCTCACAGGGAATGTATTTACTACATCACAGAGATATTTTGGGTGCAGGGACCCCCAGAGGTAAGGCAGCCTGACCCCGGGCTCGGAGCGGGGCTAGCGTCACAGTCGGAGCGGGTTGCTCAGCACCACCCTGTGCAGTCCTGTGCCTGCCTGCCCCCAGGGTGTCCTGCGGGAATGCCCTGGGCAAGGCTCTGTGGCAGCGATGCCCCTGGCTCCCACCCCTCCTGCCCCGCCTTCAGGCAGTGGAAGGCTGCAGTTAGGTTCCTCCTCAGCCCTGCTGTCTCCAGCTGAACAACCCCTGTGCTCCCTGCCTCTCCATCCCACACGGTGAAGATGAACGGTAGCATTAGACTGTTACGATAGAATAGTTTCCTCAGGACTTGGGAAAATGTCACCTTAATAAACATTGGCATTTTATTATGTTGTCTACTGCAAAATTAGACTGAAGTTTAACTGTGGGCTAACGCTTTCCATCAAGCACGCTGTTGCCAAGTAACGATACTCACTGAACAGACCTATCTGTCTCTTTTGCAGAGAACTGCCAAACAGGCCAAGGAAAGAAGCCAGATGAAGAGACGTTCTTTAGCTACAAAGTACGGCTGTGATATCACAAAATTTTTTGTGAAGATGTAAAATGCAAAATACGTTGTTACATTATAACTCAGAAACACAATTTTCTTCATGCACTGATTTTAAAAAAAAATATCTTTGTAGTCTATCATGCTGTTGGTAGAGGGAAGAAAATATGGAATTAAAAGAAATCATCATTTATAACATTGATTGTCAGAGGGCCTTGGGTCAGTGCATCCAAGGTACGTGATCATGGTTATATTTTTATGACCCTGTGGTGTAAAGCTAAATTTCTGTGTGTAACCTTAATGCAATTTTGAAGCATTACTGTTTTCCTGCTACAGTGTAGTTTATAGCTGCAAGAATTCAAGGAAGTTCTGTTGAAACGTCCATTGATCTTACAGGGTTCAAGTGTATTGGAGACATTATGGACCAAGAAGATGATAGTTAAATTCTTTTCTTTGTTCACATATCACAATTACTGGAGAAAATACAGGCTCTGACAAAAATAGCATGAGTGAGTGATCTGTCTCTTCTAAAACTGCCTCATACCTACAAAACATACCAATAGCAACCTTGGGAATGCTCTGATCAGCCAGGGAAGGCCTGTTGTTGGCACTGGGCCTGACTTGTAGGACTTCGGCATTTAGAATTAATGTCTAGTGAAGTCTGTTTTTACTTAAACCAGCATGTATCAAAAACTTATTTGTGATAAGGAACAATAAATATTACCAATTATCTCATCAAAGGTAGTTTCTGGCAAGTGCTACAGGTGCATTATCCTTAACAAGATTGCAGAGATGCTGGTTATTTTGGACTGTTCATGTGGCTTTCTTTATGGTTACTTCAAATAAATATATTTCTCTGTTTCCTGGTGATTTTTTTTTTTTTTTTTTTAGGCTTTATCAGTCTCTCCCCCACCCCTTAGATTTGGTAAGTTCATAAAGCACAGCTGGACACTACAGGTCTTTTTCTGAACGTACATGACTGCAGTTTTAAGTACATCTATTTAAAACAAGCCAAAAAGCTTTCTGGGTTATCCTTATGAGAAAAATTCTTGAAGTTTTAAACATTCTTTCTCAGTTAAAGATTTAAGACAAGGTAGTATTGTGAATGCACCATTTTCTGTAGAGTGAGATTAACTGGACAACTGCCTCAAAAAAGTGTTACATGATGTTTGTGTTCTCTGACTCAAGGAATCATCTCTTCAGCAGTTTAAAAGACGAAGCAAGAAGCGCCTGATAACGGAGGCATTTTCAAGTTTATAGAGTCTTTACAAGAGGCCACACTTTAATGTAAAATTTCATGAAGACAGCATGAGGAGAGGAAGAAACCAAAAGTATGAGGGAGAAAGCTTAAGTTAAAGAGTACTTATTCAGTAAATAGTCTAGTGCAATTTCTCTTAAACAAGCTAGACAGTTAAACAACAGCTAAATTGGTCTTGGTCTTTCTCATCCCTTTTATCAGGGGAATTTACCTCAGGTAAAACACAAAAAGCCTGGAGAACAAATTCTGTGACAAGATTTTCTCTGAAGAAAATTCACTCTTCTTTATCCTGAAAAATGTATTTCTACTTGATACAGCTTTATCTGAGGGAAACACTCCAGCCCCTGACAGCCATCCCCTCAAGGAAGTTTTAAGGTAATACCTGGGACAGAACTTAAATTTCTATACTTAATGTAGTCACAGTCATAAACAATGCTGTTCCTAGGTCAAATCATGCAAGGGTGGCATTTAAAAAGTATTTTGTCAAAACCATTGCTGGTACCCAAAGAAGTCTGAGAGCCAATAAGAAGTTCAGATTTATTGAATAATGTCAACACTACTGTAGCTGTTTTTACATTTTGCTTTGTAAAGTAACGCTGCTCTTTTGCTGATTCTCACTAAAACACACAAAGATCGCTGTAAAGCAACATTGGCACATACAGGTCATAGTGTTTGCATGAGATCCAGTGGGGTTAGTTTACAGCAGGTGATAGAATTGTCCTATTGTATTGGATCAAAGACACAGTATGCATTCAAACAGTCTCTGTAAATACCAGCACGTTGCTTACAGTGAAACACCTCTGTCAGTTACATACAGCTTTATATCCTTCCCTGCACGCAAGGGCCAAGGCTTCCAAAACCATCAGTGATCCACTTAAGGTCATCAGGCTTACTATCCACTTATAGCCCCAAATGTATTTACTTCTTTTGAGAGAAATGTCAAGACAAGATCCTTTTGGACAACTGCTGCAATGCTAGGAGAGTTCAGCGTGAACTAGAATGTACTGTATACTTTAAATAAAATTAAGAGTATTTTAGAGGTATTTGCAACTTAGTGATTAACCAAAAAATACTGGGCTCAATATTTATGATTAGCAATAAATACAAATTACTTAATGTTTGCACATCAATTGAAGTAGGCTAATGTCACTTGATAATGTCTGATTAAGAGCTGTAAAGCAGCACACTCTGCATGAATTTCAACACAATGTATTTGCATACAGCCCATTCATGTCCATTATTAAACAAGCTAATGCAAAAAAAATAATACACTCCCTTTGGACAGAGAGGAGATTCCTAAACTTTCTTCCCCAAAGATCCGATAAAAACTACTTGTGAAGCCGTTCCAAACCTCCAAGTTCAAGTTGCTACAGGCATCGTTCAAGTTGCTACAGGCATCCTTCTCGGCTGCCAGCTCAGGTCTCTCCTCAGGAACACAACACTCCGTCACTAATGACGACCCTATTTTCTCCTCACCACAAGCCAGTCAATCTGCAATGTTAACTTCCCCGAAGGAAGACAAACATCATCCTACTTGTGGAGATGCACAAGGTAGCGCAGCTGGTTACATCAGAAGAAGGTTGTATCTGCTGAAAAGGCACCTGCAAGTCGAAAATCTTCCTTCGTCAGCACGCTGTACATGCGCTGGGGCAATGCTTTGGAGTAAGGAGCGGGGCGGGGGACAGTTGTGCGCAAGATCACCTCGCGACCCGTGGGCGGTGGGAAATCTGAAACAGCCCCCGTGGTGAGTCTTCGCTCCTCCGATGAACCCGATCTCCTCAACTCTTCATCAAGTGGAGGCACTGCAGAAACCTTCAATAAGAGCAGAGGTATAATTACAGGGCAAGCTGTTTCTTAACGTTAGGATTCAGAGAATATTTCGTAAGAGGAACAGAGGAAGATTTAGAAATGGTAAACACATCAAAAGGCTTTATGTGTACACAGAGCAAGACACTAATGGGATGTCAAGAAACTGCGCGCAATCACATGGAAGAACCTTCACGTGTGGATGGTGAAGCTCAGCCTAAGCTCCTGGTTGTCTGACAGTGTGAAGCGAGGGTTTTGACCAGATGAAATGCCCTTCTCGAGCAGGGCGCTCTCCTCAGCTCTCGGCAGCTACACGAGGCCAAGCCAGCCTCGTTTTAAGAATAACCAGTGGCACTATTGGAGCCTTGACAAAAAGTCACCCACCCTTTCAAATTCAAAATACTACTTCGACAGGTGCTTTTCATGGCCAAAGCTGGAATGACAGTGCAGAGCAAGCGAGATGCTGTGCAATCTCCATCGATGCTCAGTGCCTCAGAGCCAGTAGGCAGCAACACTAAAGCCTGAATACTGGAAGAAGGGCTGGCGTGCTCCAATCAGCCCAATAAACATTCCCTAATTACATATATGTATATATACCCCAATACCCTATAGGGTCCTAATTTAAGTGTACGCAACTCAAGCTTATCAATGTCACTGAGGCATGGCAGAATCATAGAATCATTAAGGTTGGAAAAGACCTCTAAGATCATTGAGTCCAACCATCAACCCAACACCACCATGCCCACTAAACCATGTCCCTAAGCACCACATCTACACGTCTTTTAAATACTTCCAGGGATGGTGACTCCACCACTTCCCTGGACAGCCTAAGGCCTGAC